CAGCGTCACGCGACAGCTAGACATCAAAAGCAAGGGCAGCAGCGGCGCCGGACTCACTGTCAGCAGACGTGGGGTCAGCGGGGAGAACAACAGGGGGGTCAGGGCAGGGGAGCGTACAGTCAATGTGTACGGCCAGGGAGTGGACGTCCTGCCGCTGACCAGTGAGGTGACGGCGGTGGTCGACGAGCCATGAGTCGAACTCAACCGGCTGACCCTCCGCGTCAAAGCGCAGCACCGAGTCCGCCATGAAGGCCGCTGCAGCCGCGAACAGGCGGTGAAGGGCGGGACGGTGCGACGAGGAGCAGTGGGGAGGAGTGCTGTACGGTGCACTGCGGTGGAGTGCGGTGGGGCGCTGTGCTGTGTGGTGCCACACGGTGCAAAGCGGTGCAGTGTGGTGGGGCACAGTGCAGTGCGGTGCAGTGAGGTGGGGCACGGTGCAGTGCGGTGGGGCGCGGTACAGTTCGGTGCTGAGCAGTGCAGCACGGTGGGGCGCGGTGCATGACGGTGGAGAGGGCCGGTGAAGCGGGCGGGGACCAGGAAAAACGGCGGCTGAGCAGCTGGGAGACGGGGCCGCGGAGCAGCGGGGTGACGGGTTGTGGGGCGGCTGGGCGACGGGGCCGCAAAGCAGCAGGGCGACGAGGCCGCGAGGCCTCGCGTCTTTCCCCTCTGTCGCTGACCTGGCCACGCACCTGCGCACACTCGATGCTAGCTGGCGCGCTACCTGCACTGAGGCCCAGCTTCGTATGTTCTAGCCCCCTATCTGCTCTACCCTTTACCTGCTTGCTCTCCGCCTCCCTAACCGCCTTGCCACTGCCCGCGACCACTTTTATAGTCTGCACCCCGCTGACCTCACCCTCTCTGACTTTGTCGACACCCTGTCTGCCATAGAGACCAGTCAGCACTCTATCACCAACTCTAGCGGCAGTGCGCCGGTCCTTATCTTTCAGGGTTGTGCCACTGCCGCGCTCTCCTTCACTCTTGATTCTGGCGCGTCTTGGTGTGTCTTTCGGGACCACACTACGTTTACGCTGCTTGCCGTCCCTTCCGTAGTTGCCCTTGCAGACCCTTCCTCAGGTGCGGTAGTCACCCGTAGTTCCACCACCCTCCCCTGTCCGACGGTTCCTTCGGGCTCTTTTACCGGCCTGCACATCCCCTCGTTCTCTAGGAATCTAGTTGGTGTCAGCTGTCTTCAGGTTCTCGACGTCACCGGACTCCCCGCAGCTGAATGGGGTCGCTGAGCGACGCATCGGTCTGGACATGGAGGTGGCTCGTACCTCCATGATCCATGCCATTGCACTCTATATTCTGTGAACGTTCGCCGTTCGCTACGCCGCCCACCAGCTTAACCTGTGGTTGCACTCTCAGCGGCCGCAGGTTTCGCAGACTCTCTTCTGGACCGGGTCTCCTGCTGACACGCCTGCGTTCCACTTCTAGGGCTGCCTTGCTCACGTTCGTGTCTCTGGCACGGACAAGCTTACTGCCCGCACCGTCCCATGTGTCTTTCTAGGACCGTGTCCAATGGTGTTGGAGGGGGTTCATGCTCTGGGGGTGCTCGTTCAGGGGGTGCAGTGGAGTTTTCCGGAGGTAGCCGTTATGCAGCTGGCGGTCTAGGTGTCGGCGCCAAGCAGCAGTAGCAGCAGTCGTCGCCGGTGTCCGCCCTTCGCCTGCTTGGCCTTCCCTCCCCTGCCCGCTCGCCTGCGCCTTCTTGCCGCCTCCTCCCCTTCCTGTCCACGGTCTTGTGTTTCCTTCGCCGTACTCGTTCCCGGCCCGTTTCCCGCCCCGTTCCCCCCTTGTATCTCCTCCTCTGTCTCCTGACCCGACGCCTCCGTCTCACGTCTGGTCTCGTCGTCCCTCTCGTGCTCGTCCTGTCTCTCATGTTCCGCGTTCTCACCCTATGTTGCTTCGTTCCCACGCGTCTCGTCTTCCCCTCCTCCCGTCTTCTCTTCCGTCGTCGCTTGCTATCGCGCCTCCCCCTCTGTCTGAATACCTTCTTGCTGCTCGTCCTCTTGTTCCTCGGATCCTTGCTTCCCTTGTTACCGACCCGTCTGTTCCTGTCTCGAGCCTTGACGCTCTTGTCGCTGCTGTCGCTGACCTCGCCTCTACCTGCCGCCTTGACTACGCCTCATCTCTGGTCTCTGGCCCTGCTTGCCCTCTGTCCGTCGGGGGTGATCCTCCCCTCGGTAGTGACGTCTTAAAGGACAGGCAGTATGAGCTTGCTTTTCTGTCCGAGGCTGCTCCCCATCTCTGTTCCATGCTACTAGCCCCTGAGGGTGACCCAGACGCCTTTAACATCCTGACCCCTTGCACCTACGCTGAGACCATCTCGGGACCCTGGGCCTCTCAGTGGATAGCTGCCATGGAGCAGGAGATGTCATCTTGGAGATCCACTAGTGCCCTCGCCGACGCAGTTCCCCCACCTGGGGTGAACGTAGTCGATGGCTGATGGCTCTTCAAGGTGAAGCGCCCTCCTGGAGAGCCGCCTGTCTTCAAGGCCAGCTACGTTGCTTGTGGCTTTAGTCAGCGGGAGGGGGTTGACTTCTTTCAGACCTTCAGCACCCTGACTACGGCCTGCGCCAGGCGCCCTGTGAGTGGCACGATACGCTGTGTGCTACTCTTGCTGACCTGCAGTTCTTCCCATCGTCTGCTGACCCCTCGCTCTTCGTCCGCTCCGGCCAGACTCCGTTCTACATCCTTGTTTACGTAGACGATCTGGTCTTTCGTGCTGCAGACAGAGACGCGCTGGCCTCCGTGAAGGCCGAGCTGCTGAGGAGACACACTTGCACTGACCTAGGAGCATTGCGCCGCTACCTTGGCCTGGAGATCTCCAGGGATAGAGCAGCGCGCACCATCACTCTCACACAGTCACACTTGGTGCTCCAGATCCTTCAGAGGTTTGGCCTTCAGTTCACTTCCATACAGCCCACCCCTCTGGCAGTAGACCACAGACTCTCTGATCCAGTTCCGGAGGAGGCTGTAGAGCCTAGTAATCCTCACGCAGAGCTGGAGGGTTGCCTCATGTACCTGATGACTTGCATTCGTCCAGATCTCGCACACCCTCTCAGCATCCTGGCCCGCTTTGTGGCCTCCGGCAGACAACGACCACAGCACTGGTCTGCAGCTAAGAGGGTTTTGCGTTATCTTGCAAGTACATCGGGCATGGGGCTAGTTCTAGGAGAACGCAGACCAGTGGTCCTTACCGGGCACACAGACGCTTCTTGGGCAGACAACGCCGAGACTCTCAGGTCCTCCCAGGGTTACTGTTTTAGCCTTGGTGCAGGTGCTGTCTCGTGGAGGTCGATCCGTTCGTCGTCTCTTTGTGAGGTTGAGATCTACGTCGGTGCCATGGCGGCACAGGAGCTCGGCTGGCTGACTTTCTTGCTCACAGACTTAGGTGAGCAGCCTAGCTCTGCCCCGGTCCTGTATGCTGACAACAGGGCCATGATCCTCCTGTCTCAGGAGCCTCGACTCGAGGGCAGAGCAAAGCACATCCAACTGCGGTACTTCCTCCTGCATGAGCTACAGCAGCGTCGCCAGGCCCGCGTTGTACACTTGGCCTCCGGTGCCAACGCAGCTGATATCTTTACGAAGGCGCTTGCGCCTAAAGATCATCAGCGGCACTGTGTACAGTTCAAACTCGTTCCTGTAGCACCTCATTTGCTGGGACGTTGATTGTGTATAACTCTTTGTATTGTGACACGACTTTCAGAATAGTGTGCAGTGCAGTCGTCATAGCATTTCATATCTCAATGATATAGCACACTGAAGCACATGGATGTTCTAAAGGACGAAGCTAAACAGGCAGATGCCGACTAGGAAAATGGGAGAGGGGGGTGGGAGCAATCAGAGAAGAGAAATGAGAATAAGACTAGGTGGCAAGTCCATCGGACCTGCGAGAATGTGAAGGAGCTTGTCTCCTTTACAGCAAAACCCCTCTTCAAATTGAATCACAATCTGTTAATTTTTTATTCCTAAAAAATTATGCATATTGTGACACGACTTTCAGAGGAGTGTGCAGTGCAGTCGTCATAGGTCGAACGAAACATCAGGGAGGGGGTTGACGGCGGTGGCGCTCAAGCGTGGTTGCATATCGAACAGTTGGACTGGAGCGGAGAGGGTACTGAAGGGTCCGTGAGGCAGTGATAAGCTCGCGATCGAGCTGGGTGACATAACGCTCCTTAGCCGTGTGGCTGCGCCAGCGGCCGAGGGCCTTAAAGAGCCGATCAGGAACACCAACATCAACGGCCGTGGTGGCTGCGGACTTGCGAAACGAGTGTGTGCCAAGGACATCAGGATTGAGTCCGACCCGAGAGAAGGAATCCCGGCACCAACTCCGAATGGTGGCATACGAAGGGGAGTGATCGGAAGGGGAAGCTCGAGAGCCCGGCTGAAACACACGGATGAGGGGGCCGAGAGACTGGGCGGAGTACCCAGCGAGGAATAGGAATTGCTGGACGCGAGAGACGGGGCAGTGGCGAGCGGAGGAGGCAGCCACAGGAATCCATGCACCAGTAACCGCCTGATCAGTCGTGGAGCGGGAAATGAACAACCACATACAGTCCCGGTCAAACTCAATCTGGTGCCACTGGAGGGATATCAGATCAGAGAAGTGCAAAAAGGCTACAAACATGAGGGGAGGGATCAGCCCCTTCTGGAAGGTCGCAGGATCGGACGACGCGAAGTAGACGTCGCAGATATCATAGATTTTTTTGGGTGGTATCGGCTCCTTAGCTCGAGCGGGCCTGCCGCAGTGGCGTTGCGCATACTCCTTCACTTGGGAAGGTAACAGGTTGCGAATAGGAGAAGGAAGGCCTACCAGCCAATGGGCACATGAGATGGCAGAACATGCGGATCGCACTGCTGAAATAGTGGCGCCACCGCGGATCGAGTGCAACAGGAACAGTGCTGCCGTAAGGTCGCTGGCAGGTAGAAAAGGAAGCGAGTGCGCGATACAAAAGGCCCGATACTGTCGCCAGTAGGGCTCGTATGTTCAAAGAGTAGACTGTGCATGAAGATCGACTGTGAGCGTCAAGAGATCCAAAAGTAAGCGGCCGAGGTAGGAATCTGCGTAGAGGCACAGCGCTATGTATTAGTGAATAGCAAGCGAAGCGCGTACATCAATGAGTTCGGGAGACCTGCACCGCTAAAGGCAGAATGGTCGCTACCAATGCGCAAACAACTAGAGCCAGGAGCAAGGCGAATGGTTGCGACCACAGCGGGGGCCCAAGAGGAGCCGTCCGGGCATAACAATGGCCACCAAAAGGCACTAGGCCAATGCGGGATTACAAGGGTGAGCGAGGTGCGCGAGCGGCGGGCGTGAGTGAGGACAGCGGGGATCAGGGGTGGGGGAGGAAAGGCGTAGCAGTTGTCGCCCGACCAGCTAAGAGAAAACGCATCCTGCGCGACTACCGCGTTAGAGAGCTTGAGCGAGCAAAAACAAGCCAGTTGCGCATTAGACGGGGAAGCGAACAAATCAATAGTATGAGGACCCCAACGCCTCTCTAGCAGAAGGAACCAAGGTTGTGCGAGAGAGTAATTGTCGAGAAGATCCAACTTGGAGAGCGCGTCGGCTTCTGTATTAAGGGTGCGTGGGATCCACTAGACTGTGAGCCGAATATGGTGGCGCATGCAAAGGTGGATAATAGCTCGGCATATCAGAGTCAACTCAAGCCGGCGGGAACCCCATTTTTTCATAATGTAATAGGCCGCTTGGCTGTCACTGCGGAGCAGGACGTGTGAGCGTCGGACCTTGTCAAGAAAGGTTGACAGTGCCCAAAGGATGCCAGCAAGTTCGCGGAGCATGCTGGATGAAGAGACGAGGGCCCGGGGGAGTGGTGAAGCATGCGAACCGGCGTCGCCGTCCGGCGCAGAAAAACACGCGCCCCATGCGCGATCACTGGCATCCACATACATCACGACGTCGTAGAGATGAGGATTGTGGAAGCGCGATCCATTGAAGACATCGAACTGGGTGAGCCAGAAACGCAACTCGTCGAGAGAATTGGGTGTCAAGAGAATTGACGCCCCCCAAGAGTGACACTCAGAGATCTGAGAAAGGAGATGGTGGGAGAAGGCACGCGCGACCGTGCCAAGTGCGAGCGCCATGGAGGCTAGCAAGCCAGTGATGCAAGCGGCCCGACGGACTGGGATAGGCCGCCCTTGCGCGCTAAGTGCACATGTCTGCTCAAGTTCGGCGAAGAATCGCTCGCGTCTGCCGTCATCGACGGAGAAAGACGTGGTGCGAGTGTCCAGCAGGAGGCCCAAAAACTTTAGGCACTGGGTTGGTTCGAGCTGCGACTTCTTGAAGTTGACAGCGAAGCCAGCTGACTGAAGATCCGCTAAAATGACGGCACGGTGGCAAAGGGCCTCGGCTCGAGTAGCGTTGATAAACAAAATGTCATCGACGTATGGGATAAGTCGGATGCCGCGTCCGCGCCAACGTTTTGCGAGCTGCTTGATCAGCTGAGTAAAAACGAACGGCGCAGTAGCTAGACCAAAAGGCAATGATAGAAACTGGTAGCGCTGCCCTTGGAGTGTAAAACCAAGGAAGCGCCAGTACGATTCAAGCCCTCGTAGCGAAAACGAGGGACGGAAAGAAATGAATTCACGTGGCGGAGGTCCAATATGAGCCTCTTTTTGGAAGGTTGGACGACTACGTTAAGCGGGCTGATGCATGTGAGTGGCTCCGATGGAGGAACGAGCCGGGCCACTCCCGTAGCGAGGAGCTCGTCCACCGCCTCCACCGCGAATGTGAGGAATTGGAGTGCCCCGGCATGGTTTGAGGCATGCCGCACTGTAGGCTCTGAAGAAGCCCAGGGAAGGCGGTAGCCTGACGCGAGGACCGATAGCATGAAGCGGCTATCGCACCAAGCGGACCACCATGCAAAGCAGGCACGCAGGCGTCCTCGCATACGGATTGTATCACCCGATGTGGCAACATGTACGGCGAAGGAGCCAAGCTCTGGTGAGGGGCGGTGACGAACAAGTACAATAAAAAAGCCGCAAGGGCCGGATGTAAGTTATCGTTCTTGACTGTACAAATACGTTTGCCGAAGCATGCGTAGCGTGAGAAGTGTGCTCGAAATAGTCGAAGCAAAAGAAAGAATGAAGGCAACACTTTTCGCAGTGTGCGCACCAGCAATGTTACAATCTTTGTCATGCTTTCATCGGTCGGAGGTGCGTGTTCCAATGTTCCACGTGCAGTTCGTAACTTTTGGACTGCCTTTCTTTTTCGGCACTTTTGCCGTTCTCATGCTTCCACCTACTCCCTTTTAAAGGGTGGTTGTTGATTTTTTTTTTTTTTTTTTTTTTTTGCACGCAAATATTGAATAATATATTGCCGTGCTATATTCGAAGCGGATTTGAGCCGCATGCTCGATCACCAATTGGCACAACATCAATCTTTAACATGAAAGAATAGATTTATAACATCAAGGTTTTACAAAGAACCGGCCATCAAAGCCTCTAGACAATCTTAGCCGGCCGGTTGGCCTCTTGGCCTCGGCGAGGACAATCTTTAAACCCATGACCGGGTTCGCGACAATAAAAGCATCGACCGTTGCCATCCCGACGCCACGTATTCCAAGTACGTGCGTCTTCACCCCTACTACGAGGGGGGGGATCGGTGCGGGATGTTGAGGTGGTGGGTCTAGTAGGTCTCTTTTTGCTGGCGCCACAATTTGTGTGGCGGCCTTAACGTTCTTATCTTCCACCACCTCCCCATATTTAATCTTTAGGGCCATATTGGCCACTTCAAAACCGCGTTGATCTGCGGTGAATAAGAAATGAATCTTTTCCTCCGCCTCCTCGACTATCTGCTGGAGATAGTCGGCGGCTAACTCGCCACCACTAGGGGGCAAAGCGGAGAGCGCGTGCTGAGCAATAGCCTGGATACGCTCGAAACTAAAAAGTTGGGTTCGAATTCCGTCACTTTTTACCAAAGAAGAACGCAACTGAGGACGTGCAGGAGGGATAAGAGCAAGATTCGGGGTGGTAGAACCGGACTTGAGACGAGCGGCGTTACCTTCGTCGAGGGTTTCCATGGGCGCGTCGTCGTCCGCGTCATCGCCCTCGGGTTCGGCCGCGACGGGGGGAGGGCAGGAGCATGGCACTGCTGCTGCCGCAGGTCGAGCAGCTGCAAGGGGTGGTGCTGGATCACCAGATTGTCCGCGCTGAAGGGCCACGAGAAGACCGATAACGTGATGAATTGCATCATTATTAGCGTTGTCGTTGTTGTTGTAACGAGCAGGGGTGTGTTCTGCAGATCGGGGCGCTGTAGAAGCAGAGGAGCGCACTGTAACGCGTTTACCAATTGCAGCACCCATGAAGATTCGCTGGAAATTTCGCTGGGTGGCGGGGTCCAGACGTACCATCATTTCGGCGAAATTTGCAGATCCATTGGCGATGATGACAGGATCCTGCTGTGCGCGCTGATTCGTCGGGCGAGATTCCAAATCGGCGTGGACGTCCAGATTCTGGCGATCGCCACGATCCTGGCGCTCCTGACGATTTGCGCGCTGGTCAAGATTCTGACGACCCAGGTCCTGACGCGTCTGGTCACGCTCAGGATTCTGCTCATCATTTCGACCTGCGCGCCCAGGATCGCGATGATCATTGCGATCCTCGCGCGCAGGACCGTTATGATTGCGGCCGAGGGGTGCCGCGCGCAACTGTTCCACGGGTGTCGGGGCGTTTTCTCCTGGCGGGTTCAAGTCGATACGTTCACGTTCTTCACGCCGCTCGCCGCGAAACCCGGGGGGAAAATCGCGACCGTCAGAAGCGTTGCGATCTCCGACGGGAGCCAATCCGGGTTGCTGAACGGGGTTTCGCCGAGCGCCATTCAGCAGATCCAAGGCAGTAACATATGCGTTTCTGTTGCGTGGAGAGCGGGAACGGTGACGGTGAGTAGAAGAATCTTGACTTCCCTCACGCACAGGGGATCCACGTCGTCCATTGCTCCTTAAATTCATTCTTGAAACAGGAGGACGACCAGTTGCAGCAGAAACAATTCCTCCAGTCATAGTAGGAAAACGTGCAGCAATCACGTCCTCAAGGAGCGTGCTCCTATGCCCAGGTCTGGGCATAGGAGGGGTTTAGAGTGTGCTGATGGTAGTAAGCAATCAGAGAAGAGAAATGAGAATGAGACTAGGTGGCAGGCCCATCGGACCTGCGAGAATGTGAAGGAGCTTGTCCCTTTTACAACAAAACTGTTAAAATTATATAAGTTATAATTTAATATAGGCTTGGTAGGTTGTTACTGAACCTTTCTGTAGGGGGTACAAACCCCTCCTTGTACTCCCCTCTCTTCCTAATCCAACCCCCTTTCTTCTCGACATCCTCTCACCTCCTAGATCCGTTTTTCCTCACGCCATTCTATGGCGGTCTTCTTCCTAGTATCCTAGCCAACCTAGCCTCCTAAGTTTAAGAACCTTTAGTCCTAAGTTTCTAAGATGGTATCAGAGCAGGAGATCCTCCCTGTTGGATCGCCTCCTCACGCTTCCGCAATTTACTCCTCACTCTCATTAGCTCGAGCGGCCATGGCGGCCGCGTTTTGCTGCAGTGGCGACGTCGCGCTGCCACTGGCCGCGTCGTGCCGCGACCGGCTCGACGCGCTGCCGTGGCGTCGGGCCGTCGTTCTGCAGTCGCAGCGTCGACGTCCCGCTGCGGCATCGACGCTGCCTCTGCCGTCGCGACGTCGACGTCCTGCTGCAGCGTCGACGGCGCCGTCGGGCCGCAGCCGGTTGCGTCGACGCTTTGCCGTGGCAGCGTCACCTTGCTGCCGTTGCAGCGTCGGCGTGCCGCCACAGCGTCGACGCCGCGCCCTGGCGGCGTCGTCATGCTGCCGCGGCAGCGTGGATGGGCGGCAGCGGGCAGCACGCCATCGTAACCGCCACCTGCCCGCCCTCCTGCCAGTAAGCGCCGCGCCACTTATGGCGCGTCGCTGAAGACTCGCCTCGCCCCGCCCCCTCCCCTCCCCCCCCCCACCTGCACCTGCTTCCCCTGCATCCCCCCCTTTCTTGCTGCAGCCGATGACTGCCATGTGAGGGACCTCTCCACCGCCGAGGAGACAGGACATGCCGCCGAGAGGGCGGGGGCCGCCGCACCAGCCTCTGTCGTTCGAGCCGCCGGCGCCGCCGCTGTTGCCGCAGGCCTGGAGCCGCCGCACACCGCCGCCGCCGTCGCCGTCGTCACTGTCGCTGCTGCCGCCATTGCCGTCTCAAGGGGCCGTGAGACCTACCCTCTTCCGGAGTCGTTGCGGCTCCTGCTGGGAATGGGGGTGCTGGGCTAGGGGGTGTGGGTGTGGGTGTGGGTGTGGGGGTGTGCGTGGGCTTGACACTACCAAGCCTAGGGGGTGTGTTAAAATTATATAAGTTATAATTTAATATAGGCTTGGTAGGTTGTTACTGAACCTTTCTGTAGGGGGTACAAACCCCTCCTTGTACTCCCCTCTCTTCCTAATCCAACCCCCTTTCTTCTCGACATCCTCTCACCTCCTAGATCCGTTTTTCCTCACGCCATTCCATGGCGGTCTTCTTCCTAGTATCCTAGCCAACCTAGCCTCCTAAGTTTAAGAACCTTTAGTCCTAAGTTTCTAAGAAAAACTCCTCTTCAAATCGAATCACAATCTGTTAATTTTTTTTTATTCCAAAAAAAATATTCATATTTTACTCTTAGACTATCAACTTTTACATATCAGCTATGGAGAAGTTATAGGCTAGATTGAGCTTTGCTTCTAGTGAGTACAACCAATTAGTATTTGTTCTAAGTTTCACCTTCTAGTTCATTATTCAGTTCTTACTTTAACATAGACCCCTACCTCAGAGGTTGGACTAGCAGTGCCGCCCTGAGCTGTTTGTCTCTCATCAGGCTTTGCCCCTATCTAGTCTATGGGGTGTGTCAAACAGATCTGTTTATGTTTAGTAGACTACAGAGGGTCTTTCCATAGAGAGTACAACCCATTAGCTATATACCCCTGGATACTCTCATTATAGTTATTCGCTCTAACTCTGAGATAAGGGATATCGCCGATTTTTTGGTGTTGCGTGTGGTGTGTTGAGGAAAAACTCTGGTGTGGGAGATTTTGTCAACTTATACATATTATCTATGTAGAAGTTATAGGCTAGACTGAGGTATGCTTCTAGTGAGTACAACCAACTAGTATTTGTTCTAGGTTTCCACCTCTTGTAATCATTCGTTTCTACGTTATCATGGTATCACGCTTAGGTTAGGATCCCCCCGCCTACCGCTTCCGCCCGTCGCGCCTCCTAGGCCCCGTCGCGCCCCCTAGGCCCCGTCGCGCCCCCCCTGGGCCCCGTCGCGCTCGTTAGGCCCCGTCGCGCCCCCCCTGGGCCCCGTCGTGCCCGCTGGGCCCCGTCGCGCCTCCTAGGCCCCGTCGCGCTCCCCCTGGGCCCCGTCGCGCCCACTGGGTCCCGTCGCGACCCCTAGGCCCTAACGCGCCCCCGCTGGGCCCCGTTGCGCCTCCTAGGCCCCGTCGCGCCCCCCATGGGCCCCGTCGAGCCCGCTGAGCCCCGTCGTGCCTCCTAGGCATCGTCACGCCTCCTAAGCCCCGTCGCGTCCCCCCCCTCTGGGCCCCGTCGCGCCCGTTCGGCCCCGTCGCGCCCCTCCTAGGCCCCGTCGTGCCCGCTGGGCCCCTTCGCGCTTCCTAGGCCCCGTCGCGCCTGCTAGGCCCCGTCGCGCCCCCCCTGGGCCCCGTCGCGCCCGTTAGGCCCCGTCGCGGCCCCCCTGGGCCCCGTCGTGCCCGCTGGTCCCCGTCGCGCCTCCTCGGCCCCGTCGCGCCCCCCTGGGCCCCGTCGTGCCCGCTCGGCCCCGTCGCGCCCCTTAGGCCCCGTCGCGCCCGCTGGCCCCTGTCGCGCCTGCTGTTAGCGCTCGCCCGCCTGGCCTCCTCCTAGTGCCGCTCGGCCTCCTCCTAGTGCCGCCCGGCCTCCTCCTAGTGCCGCCCGGCCTCCTCCTAGTGCCGCCCGGCCCCTTCCTAGCGCCGCCCGGCCTCTCCTCAGCGCTGCCCGGCCCCTCCTCGTGCCCGACCGGCCCTAGCAGCACCAGCCTGGCCCCTCCCAGCACCAGCCCGGCCCTAGAGCACCTGCCCGCCTCCCCTGCTCGGCCTGCCGTGTCCTCTCGGGCCCTGTGTCTTCTGCTTGCCTGCGCTGGGACGCCTAGCTGCTGCCCTACTGGAGAGTGCTGCCGCCGTGTCCCCGCGCCGCTGTGCTCCTGTGCCGCTGAGGAGCTGTGCTGCTGTGCCGCTGTGTCGCTGAGGAGCTGTGCCGCTGACCCTGCACGATGGCTGACTTTGTGCTCCGCCTGGACGCTGAGGGCCACGCGGTTGACTTCGCCGCCTGGCTCTCCGATCTTCGCCGCCAGCTTACAGGTCAGCGCCAGGATGGCCACTCTCTGGTTGTCCATGCTGATGGCTTGCTCCCCCGTCCCCCTGCAACTACTCCCCTCCCTGCTGACCCCTCCTCTGATGACCGTGAGGCTTTCTCTACTGCTGCGCTAGCCTGTGCGGTCTGGGACTCACGCGATGCAGTAGCTCAGGTTGCTATTAGTCACGCCCTCCCTGTGTCTGAGCGCTCGCGTTTTGCTACTGTTGAAACGGCCAAAGCTTATTTAGAAGCCGTTATTGCTCGCTATTCCACCCCTGCCTCCGCTTCTGCTGGCCGCTTGCTCTTTCCGATGCTGTTCCCAGACCTGGCTGCCTTCCCTACTGTCGCAGATTTTGCCACTCATTTGCGTGCCCTAGAGACTCGCTATCGCACTGCCAGCACTGCTGCCCAGCTCACTGCGCTCCCCCCTCCTTTCTGCATGACGCTCTATTTTATCGCTATGCGCCTGCCAGACCGCCTCGCTAGTGCTCGCGACCACTTTCTTAGCCAGCACCCGGGTGACCTCACCCTGACCGCCTTTGTCGACACCCTCACTGAGATCGAGACTCGCCAGCGCACTATCGCTCAGTCGAGCGGTGCGCCGGCAGTCTCTATCTTTCACGGTTGTGCCCCATCCCCGTGCACGTTCACTGACGTTTCGGCTGCGGTCGCCACGGCGACCCCTCTTACCGAGACGGCTGCTGCTGTCCACCCGCAGCAGCGCTCGCGTCGCGGTGGCCGTGGCCGCCAGGGAGGTAGGGGTGGTGACGCAGGTGGTAGTGGTCGTGGTGGTGGTGACGGTAGTCCGCCTGAGGGGACTACCACCGGTGGGCAGGAGCAGCAGTCCCAGCAGCAGCAGGACCAGCCCCAGCCGCAGCCGCCGTCCCAGCAGCACCCGCCGCAGCCGTGGGCTCGTCTCCCGCCTGGTTGGCCCGGCACCTCTGGAGGCGGTGGCCGTGGTGGCGGCCCGCGCAGCTTGGCGTCTACCAGCGGCTCCAGTGCTGTGACCTGCCAGTACCAGCTTCAGACCGGGCCTCTCCGCGGCACTCTGTGCCGCCGCCCGCACCCGACCGCCCACTGTTTCCGCCGCCTCGACGATCTTTTTCGTCGTCGCTTTGGCCCGGCCCCGGACCTCCCTGACTGGCACAGCCTGCTCCGCCAGGGCGTGCCGATCTTTGAGTTAGACATGGATCAGATAGGTGCTGCTTTGCATGCTTTGTATGCTGACGCTTCTAGTGTTGATGGATCTTACTACCATGTGTACTCTAGTTTAGGTGTTTCACCCTTGTGTAGCTTAGCTTCCCCTGCTGCGACAGGCGTAGGACTGCCTAGGTTGCCTAGTCTAGTCGCTGCACCGGCTCCGTCCGCGGCCTCCGCCACTGCGTCGCTGTCCTTCACTCTCGACTCTGGTGCTTCTGCCTGCTTCTTCCGCGACCGTTCCACGCTCACGCCGCTTGCTGCACCTGCTGTTGTCTCTCTCGCTGACCCCTCTGCGGGTCCGGTCGTCGCGCGCAGTTCTACGTCCCTTCCCTGTCCGGCAGTTCCCTCGGGCTCCCTTACTGGCCTCCACGTTCCCTCGTTCTCCAGGAACCTGGTTGGTGTCGGCTGTCTCCAGGACCTCGGCGTCACCACCACGTTCCCCGGGCACGAGCGGTTCGCTGTCTGTTCTGAGGCTGTCTCAGGTTCCCCCCTTGCGACGTTCCCCCGGGACCCGGTGTCCGGTCTGTTTACCCTACACACCGCTTCCCCCCCGGTTGGTGCGTCCTCCCAGGTCGCTGCAGCTTGCTCGTGTCGGTCCCTCACTCACCCCTCCCTTCTCTGGCACCACCGCTTAGGTCACCCTGCTCTCCCGCGTCTGCGTCACATGTCCCAGCACGGTCTTGTCTTAGGTCTCCCCGCGTCGCTCCCTGCCCTTCCTCCCTCGACTGCGCCACCGTGCACGCCTTGCGTCGAGGGTCGGCTCCGCCGTGCTCCTCACTCCTCCTCGCTGCGTCCTGCTACTGCCCCCCTTCAGACCCTGCACTTGGACGTTTGGGGCCCTGCCCCCGTCCCCGGACCGCGCGGTGAGCGCTACTTCCTTGTGCTCGTTGACGACTACACGCGCTACACCACGGTGTTTCCCCTGGAGCGGAAGGCCGACGTGCCCGACGTTCTTCTCCCGTGGGTTGTAGCTGCGCGTCTCCACCGCGGTCTCCCCGTGTTGTGTCTCCACTCCGACCGTGGCGGCGAGTTCGCCTCTGGTCGGCTTGGACAGTTCTGTCGTGCGGAGGGCATCACTCAGTCGTACACCTTGCCGGACTCGCCACAGCAGAATGGGGTTGCTGAGCGCCGCATCGGCTTGGTCATGGAGGTCGCCCGTACCTCCATGATCCATGCCGATGCCCCCCATTTTCTGTGGCCGTTCGCTGTTCGCTACGCGGCTCACCAGCTTAACCTGTGGCCACGCTCCCAGCGGCCGCAGGTTTCGCCGACCCTCCTTTGGACCGGGTCCCCCGGTGACGCGTCTGCGTTCCACGTCTGGGGCTGCCTTGCTCACGTTCGTGCCTCTGGCACGGACAAGCTCACTGCCCGCACTGTCCCCTGTGTCTTCCTCGGTTTCCCCCTGGACTCGTCTGACTGGCTTTTCTACCACCCGCCGTCTCACCGCTTCCTCCACTCTCGTGACGTCACCTTTGACGAGTCCGTCTCCTTCTACCGCCGCTTCCCTCACCGAGGTCTCCCAGTTGCCCCCCCCCTTTTCCTTGCTCCCTCTCCCCCGGTAGCCCCTGCCCCTCTCCCGCCTCGTCCTGCCCCGTCTGGTGTCTCCCACGTCACTCCCCTCCCGTCGGTTGTCCCCGTTGAGGAGTCTGCTGACTCTGGTGGTACCCCCGGTCCGTCCTTGCCGCGTCCCCCTTCCCCAGTGCCTCCGCCCCCACTGTCGCAGTCGCCGACCCCGCTGCCGCCGCCGTCGCCGTCGCCGCCGCAGCCGTCGCCGCTGTCGCCGCCACTGCCGCCGCTGCTCTCGGCCCCTGGGGGTGCTGGTGTGGAGGAGGGTGTTCGTCCTGCGGCTTCTGGGGGTGCCGCTGGTGTTGGAGGGGGTTCTCGCTCTTGGGGTGTTGGTTCTGGGGGTGCTGCTGTTGAGTGTTCTGCCGACGGTCGTTCTGCCTCTGCTGGTCCGAGAGTTCCGGCCCAGCCGTCGTCGCCGCCACAGCAGCCGTCGCCGCCGGTTTCCGCTCTCCGCCTGCTCGGCCTTCCCTCCCCGGACCGCGCGCCGGTGTCTCCCCCACCGCCTCCTGACCTCCCTGTCTACGGTCCTGTGTTCCCGCCGCCAGACTCGTCTCCGGCCCGTCTTCCTCCTCGTTCCCCTCCTGTGTCTCCTCCGCTGTCCCCTGACCCTACCCCTCCGTCTCACGTTTGGGCTCGCCGTCCCTCCCGTGCTCGTCCCGTCTCTCCTGTCCTGCCCACCCACCCTATGTTGCTCCGTTCCCACTCGTCTCGTCCTCCCCTCCTCCCGTCCCCTCCTCCCTCGTCCCTTGCTGTTGCACCTCCTCCGTTCTCTGACTACCTCCGTGCTGCTCGTCCCCTTGTCCCTCGGGTCCTTGCCTCTCTTGTTACCGACCCTGCTGTTCCTGTCTCGCGCCTTGACGCGCTTGTCGCTGCTGTCGCTGACTTCGCTTCTACCCGCCGCCTTGACTACGCTACCGCTCTGGTCTCTGACCCTGCCCGTCCTCTGTCCGTCGGGGGTGCTCCTGCCCTTGGCAGTGACGTCCTAGAGGACAGGCAGTACGAGCTGGCTTTCCTTTCCGAGGCTGCTCCCCATCTCTGCTCCATGCTGTTAGTCCCTGAGGGTGACCCAGACGCCTTCGACATCCCGACCCCTCGCACCTACGCTGAGGCCACCTCGGGACCTTGGGCCTCTCAGTGGATAGCTGCCATGGAGCAGGAGATGGCATCTTGGAGATCCACCGGCACTTACGTCGACGCAGTTCCCCCGCCTGGGGTGAACGTAGTCGATGGTCGGTGGCTCTTCAAGGTGAAGCGTCCCCCTGGAGAGCCGCCTGTCTTCAAGGCGCGCTACGTGGCCAGAGGTTTCAGTCAGCGCGAGGGGGTTGACTTCTTCCAGACCTTCGCCCCGACCCCGAAGATGACCACTCTTCGGGCGCTGCTACACGTAGCAGCACAGCGTGACTACGAGCTTCACTCTCTCGACTTCTCTACTGCCTTTCTTCAGGGCAGCCTACACGAGCAGGTCTACCTGCGCCGACCACAGGGCTTCACTGGTACCTTCCCTCCTGGGACCCAGTGGCTTCTCAGGCGCCCGGTCTACGGCCTGCGTCAGGCTCCCCGCGAGTGGCACGACACGCTACGTGCCACGTTAGCAGACCTGCAGTTCTTTCCGTCCTCTGCTGACCCTTCACTGTTTGTGCGTTCCGGCCAGACTCCGTTCTACATCCTTGTCTACGTAGACGACCTGGTCTTCGCTACTCCTGACAGGGACGCACTGGCCTCTGTGAAGGCTGAGCTGCTGAAGAGACACACCTGCACTGACCTTGGAGAGCTGCGTCGCTATCTTGGCCTGCAGATCTCTAGGGACAGAGCAGCACGCACCATCACTCTGACCCAGTCACACTTGGTGCGTCAGGTCCTTCAGAGGTTCGGTCTTCAGTTCTCCTCCGCACAGCCCACACCTCTACCCGTAGACCATGGGCTCTCTGCTCCCGTTCCTGAGGAGCCAGTAGAGCCCAGTGGCCCCTACGCAGAGCTGGTGGGTTGCCTCATGTACCTGATGACTTGCACTCGCCCAGATCTCGCATACCCTCTCAGCATCCTGGCTCGCTTTGTGGCTACAGGCAGACACCGACCTCAGCACTGGTCTGCCGCTAAGAGGGTTTTGCGTTATCTTGCTAGTACATCAGGCATGGGGTTAGTGCTAGGAGGACGCAGGCCAGTGGTCCTTACTGGGCACACAGACGCTTCTTGGGCAGACGACGCTGAGACGCTCAGGTCGTCGCAGGGCTACTGTTTCAGCCTTGGTTCGGGTGCTATCTCTTGGAGATCCACTCGCTCGTCGTCTGTGGCTCAGTCTAGCTGTGAGGCTGAGATCTACGCTGGTGCCATGGCGGCACAGGAGCTCCGCTGGCTGACCTTCTTGCTCACAGACTTAGGTGAGCGGCCTAGCTCTGCCCCGGTCCTGTACGCTGACAACAGGGCCATGATACTCCTGTGTCAGGAGCCTCGGCTTGAGGGCAGAGCGAAGCATATCCAGCTGCGGTACTTCCTCCTGCGCGAGCTACAGCAGCGCCGCCAGGCCCGCGTAGTTCACTTGGCCTCAGGTGCCAACACAGCTGATATCTTTACTAAGGCGCTTGCGCCTAAAGATCATCAGCGGCACTGTGTACAGCTTGGTCTTGTTCCTATAGCTGCTCCCTTGTTAGGATCCTGATTGTGTACTCTCTATTATATATGCTTGTCAGACTGGCCTTGTGGCCTTACCTCCAGTGGCTGGACTAGTAGTGCCACCCTGGCTTGCTTCAGTTTTGGTTGTATTCTTGCTGACTGGTCTCCAGACCCCTGCCTCAGTGGTTGGACTAGTAGTGCCGCCCTGAGCTGTTTGCTTCTTGTTTAGTTTCACCCCTTGTCTAGCCTAGGGGGTGTGTCAACTTATACATATTATCTATGTAGAAGTTATAGGCTAGACTGAGGTATGCTTCTAGTGAGTACAACCAACTAGTATTTGTTCTAGGTTTCCACCTCTTGTAATCATTCGTTTCTACGTTATCAGATTTAGCCGAAAAAACTATGTTTTTTAGGGGTGTGGGGGGGATGCATCTGGCAGTCGGGGCCTTAGCCGAAAGAATCTTGGTTGTGGGGGGTGGGAGGGTGGGGGGACGGCGAGGAATGTCTCAGACGAAAAAATGCGCGCTATCTGAATTTTTAGACGAAAGTCTACACCTGGTCTGAACTTTCAGACGAAATCTTATGGCTTATCTGAACGATCAGACGAATTGATTTAGCCCATCCAAAAATCAGATGAATGGAAAAAAACAGGTCTGATTTTCCGACCATCAGACCGATTTCGCCTGAAATCTGAGACCCTGCACCTTGGGTCTCCCTTACAGTACCTACCATGAATCTTTTAGAAACGCAAGGAACATTGTGTATTGAGCAACCTTCTCCGGAACTAATAAGGCACAATTTTGTTTGTTTGCAAACAAACTCCACAACAGTGGCCGACAATCAATCCGCACCTTTGTGGCAGAGGCACACCCTGTTCATTGACTTGCGTTGACTTCTTTTTTCAGCCAGCCAGTCATACCCCTCCTCAGCACCTCCTTAACAGGCTCCTGTCAAACATATATTGTATGTTTTTTTAGATTATATAGGGTTGTGCCTTAGGGAGTAAAACCCATTAGGTTATATTCCCTTGTATGCCTTGTTCTAGTTATTCTTTCACTTGAACAGCTCCTCCTCTGCCTCAACGCCTTGGCTTGTTGACTCACTTAACTTGCGTTGACTCCTCTCGTCCAGCCAGCGAATCATATCCTTCAACACAACCTCAGCAGTCTCCTCCGGCTCTCCCTCGGTGAGGAAGTGCCACACATCCTTGTACAACCTCAACGCCTTGTCCTCACTCCTCGCCTTGTCGTACAAAGCCTGACTCCTCCTCTTGAATTCCTCAGTGACGATGTCAGCATCCCCATGCAGCAGCAGGAAGGGCAGGGAGGGAGTCCGCGACACATCATGCACTGAACCTACCTGCCCTCTACGCTTTGGCTTGTTCACTTGTTGACTTGCGTTGACTCCTCTCGTCCAGCCAGCCAATCATATCCCTCAGCACCTCCTCAGCAGTCTCCTCCGGCTCTCCCTCCGTCAGCAAGTGCCACGCGTCCTTGTAAACTTTAAATGTCTTGTCCTCACTCCTCGCCTTGTCATACAAAGCCTGACTGCCCTCCAGCTCGGTGACGATGTCAGCATCCCCATGCAGCAGAAGGAAGGGCAGGGAGACCTGGTCCAGGGTGCGCTCTGCGTCTTGGCTGGCATGCAGCATGGTGAGAGCTGTTCGCATGCGTGGTCGAGCACGGTAGGTGTAGGGGCTTGCTGCTATCTGGGAGGGGGTTTTGGGGGGAGGGGGGAAGAAGGAAGGGGGAAAGGGGAGGAGAGTGTAGGGGCTTGCTGCGATCTGGAAGCATGGGGCAGTCGGCAGGTGTGGGAGAAAGGGAAAGGTGAGGGCAAGAGCAGGCACGTCGACACTCGACACGCGACACTCGACACTCAACACTCGACACTTGACACTCGACACTTGACACTCGTCTCACGACTCCAGAAGCCCTGAAAGAGGGGATGCTTCCCCTCATCATAATTGCACCTTGGCAGCACTGTGCGTCAGGGGTACAACCACGACTGTTTCCCAGGGCTATGCTTCCGCTCATTTTTCGCTCATATGGCTATGCCAACCGTATGAGTGAAAAGCGAGCGTTTCCTTTCCCAGCGCTTTTCGAACTTTGTTGGTTCCCGCGACTCACCTTCTCCTTTCGAGACGCCTCAAAAGCGAACTTTGTTGGTTACCGCATCTCAACTTCTTGAGCTTCTCAGGGCAGTGAATGGAGGAGGCGAGGACGTCAGCAGAGGCTCGTCCCTAGGTTGACCAAACAAATACTGTTTTCAGATTCTTGGCCCAAATCTCGCCGTTTTCAGCTTCTTAGCCCAAATCTGCCGTTTTCAGCTTCTCTGGGTAGCAAATTGATGGAGGATGTGACAGTGTCAGTAGAGGTTAGTCCGTAGGACCCTGTTAAGCTGACCAAACAAATACCTTCTTAAGCTTGTCAGAACAGCAATTGGAGGAGGTGAGGTGAGGCCGTCAGCAGAAGTCAGTCCACGGGTCCCTGTAAGTTGAGGATCGACCCAAGTTAACAGGGACCTAGGGACCTAGGGACCTAGGGCCCTAGAGGCCTAGAAACAAGTACCATTTTAAGCTTGTCTGGGTCACGAATGGATTAGTTGACGATGTCAGCGGAGGGCACAGCACTATCTAGGTGGTTGCTGACCTCTGTGAGCCCAAATCCCACCTGCCGTCTCCCTGTGATTTCAGTCTGCTTCTGCAGCTCACCTTCTTAAGCTTCTCTGGGTCGCGAATGGAGGAGGTGACAATATCAGCAGACGGAACTATCTGCCATGTGGGCAGCACATACGCCAGGCCCTGCACCAGCTGCACTAGGATGGCTGGAGGCCGCACCTTGGCTGAAATCTGGTTGTGAGGGCACAGGAGAGAAGGGGAGCCTTAGGAAGGAGAAGGTGCAGCCCGAGGTGCCTGTGGTGCGCTTGTGTGCAGCCTGTGGTGCGCGTGTGTGCAGCCTGCGGTGCGCATGTGTGCAGCCTGTGGTGCGCGTGTGTGCAGCCTGCGGTGCGCGTGCGTGCAGCCTGCGGTGCGCGTGTGTGCAGCGCAGCCTGTGGAGCACGAGTGTGCAGCCTGCGGTGCGCGTGTGGCTGCACCGTCGCTTCCGCAGCTTAAAGCACACGGCAAGGCCTTAAACAGCCTTAAGGAAATCGCTCGTGGCTGCATTGTTTGTGAAGGAAACGAGGCATATTGGTGTGCCATTGCCACCTCGGTCCACTAAGTCTTGGTTGTGATAACACCGGAGGCAAAGAGGAAGGGGGAAAGGTTTTTGAGTCAAATCAAAAGCACACACCCAATCGGTGCATGGGTCCACTAAGATTTAGTTGTGAGAGCACAGGAGACAAAGAGGAAGGGGGAAAGGGAGTCGGCGGAGGAAGACAGACAACGAAACACACCCATCGGTACAACACGTGTCTTTTAAATGATCGAAAACTAAACTTGTTGATTGTTAAGTACAATACCTTGCACATGGGAGCCATGAAAATGGCGCCATCCCATTGGTCAGGCTGCTTGCGATGGATGCACAGAGCCACTGCGCCACCCATGGACTCCCCACACAGGAACTTGGGTATGCTCTGGTGCTCTGGTCGCTCTGTAAGAAAAGGGGGCAGGGGAAAAAGGAAACGAGCAGGAGGGGAAGGGGGGAGTGAAAGAAGGACTGGGTGCCTCGTGAGTTGACAGTGTGCCGCTGCGCCGCCCATGGACTCCCCACACATCAACTTTGGTATGCTCTGGTGCTCTGGTGCTCTGTAAGGGAAGGGAGAAGAGGAGAGGTAAAGAAAGGCTGCTTGCAGTGAATGCACAGAGCGACACTGCCCTGCCTTACACATGAAACCAATTCCCCACACATGAACGCACACAAGGGTTAAGCCTCGAAACAGGATTGAGAACAAATGTGGGGTCATTCCTGTTATTGTAAGCATGGTAAGGTGTTTTTGAGAATTCTCAAAAACACCCTGCAAATGTGGGGTCATTCCTGTTGTTGTAAGCATGGTAAGGTGTTTTTGAGAATTCTCAAAAACACCCTGCAAATGTGGGGTCATTCCTGTTGTTGCAAGCATGGTAAGCCGTCGGACTTACTGAGCCAAATGCATCTTCTCCACATACCAGCTTTACCCATCCTCCTCCACCCCCCTATCTCTGTCTACTCACGCCATCCTCCCAATGAGCAACCTCATCCGCCCTCCCCTACCTGTCCCCCCCCCCCCCTCCAACGCACCCCTGATAGGAGCAAAGTACGCCAGGCTGTCATCCACGAGTGTGTTGAAATCAGGGATGAACACGCTGAGACCCTCGGACCTGGGCGAGAGAGGGGAAGGGAGCAGAGAGTGGGGGGGGGGGGGGGGAAGAGGGGAAGTATGAGGCCAGCGAGGTACGCCAGGCTGTCATCCACGAGTGTGTTGAAATCAGGGATGAACACGCTGAGACCCTCGGACCTAGGGTACAGGGGGATCACGTGTGGGAGCAAGAGGCGAGAGGGTTGAATTGAAATCAAGAACGAACACGCTCAGGCCCTCGGACCTGGGGTAGAGGAGATGGGAAAAAGAGGTGCAGAATGAGGCAGGCGATGGAAGGAAGGCTAACATCCACTATGGCGGTGGAGTAAGGGAGGAACGCACTCAGGTCCTCGGACCTGGGGTAGAGGGAATGGGGGCGAGCAAGAGGGGCAGTAAGGCAGCCATTGACCATAGTGGTGAAATCAGGGATGCACGCACGCAGGCCCTCGGACCTGCGATAGAGGGGGGATCAGGAGATAGTCCGGGAGAGCAAGAGGTCCAGATTTTTGAGTCTATTTTTTAGTCGACTCAAAGATAGAGGGGGGATCAGCAGATAGCCAGGGAGAGCAGGCAAGAGATTCAGGGAAAGTGCGATAGAGGGGGAGATCAGCAGATAGTCAGGGAGATCAAGAGATAAAGGAAAGTGCAATAGACCTGGAAAGTACGGCGTACCTGCCATGCCTGTCCCTCTGACGCCAGGCGCTCTGCTGTGGCTGGTAACTGCAAGGTGTTGCAGAAACAGCACCTTGGAATGTACGCCAGACAAGCATGTCTTACCTTCCGTGCTCCTCGAAGTCGATGCCCTACACGCCATAACCCTCCGACGCCAGGCGCTCTGATGTGAAAGAGGGAGCAGGGGGTAAAGATCCCCAGCCACACGGCCCTCTCCTACCTGCCGTGCCCCTCGAAGTCGATGCCATACACGCCATAACCCTCCGACGCCAGGCGCTCTGCTGTGGCTGCAGGTGAAGGATAGGGAGGGAGGGGAGGGATGGGAGGGAGGGGAGGGAGGGGAGGGGAGGGGAGGGGAGGGAGGGGAGGGAGGGGAGGGGAGGGAGGGAGGGAGGGGAGGGGAGGGAGGGGAGGGAGGGGAGTGAGTGAGGGAGGGTGGAGAGAAAGAGGAAAGGGGTTTGTGAATGCAACCAACCACCGCGAAGGTCGGAAAACATAGTCAATGACGCGTGAAACGAAGGAGAAAGGGCAAGAGACAAAGGATGCGTGAGTGACAAAGGCAGGGTGGGAGGGGAGGCACCTTGGAAGTAGGTGGTGCAGTCGAAGCCATATCCTGCAAGCAACAGCACGGCACAATGCAAAGATGGGGTTGAATCAGGTGTATTCTGAGTCTAGTCAAAATACACCTTGGAAGTAGGTGGTGCAGTCGAAGCCGTATCCTGCCGGCAACAGCACGGCACGAAGCAAGTTGAGGCGACTCAACAACAGCACGGCACGAAGCAAAGACAGGGTTGAATCAGTCTAACCACTACGGAAACCGACGAAACAAGAAAACGAAGGAATCGCCGGCACAAGAGGTGAGGACGCGCCGCCGGCGCGAATTTGTGAAACGGGGGGGATGCTGCCTTGAATAGCGAAACTTACCGTGGAGGAGGAGGATGAGCGCTTTCAGCGGTCGGTTGGCCGGCACCCACGACGCGGACATTAACTTCATTCCGCGCGAGTTGGTGACCCACTCCTCCTTGTGCTCCACGCCGTTACTGCCACCCGTAGCATCATTGACTTCAGCGCCGGCGTTCGCTGCTTCTGCAGCCATGGTTTCGAACTACACAAGAGGAAGCAGTAGAGTCCGGCAAAGTGGTGGTTCCGCAACGACTGACAGGTCTGTATGAGCAGCGGAAAATCCGCCTTGAATTAGAAACCCTCGAAATGAGATCTGTGCAGGAAATGAGACTTTTGCGTCGACTCAGAAGTAACGAAGGACAGATCTGTATGGGCAGCGGAAGAAATCGCCTTGAATTACTACTAGTAGTAGTAGATACTCTCGAAATGAGAACTGGGCAGGGAATGAGACTCTCGACTCTCGACTCTCGCAACAACGATGGAAAAGAACGCCAGGTCGAGATGCAGGTACAGCGATAGTAGTATAAGGGCCGTGCCTGCCACGCCATTCGCGCTGAGCTAAGGTGGTGCATCGTCTGGAAAGCTCCCTCGAAACTACCGACGCAAGGTGACAGGGGCAATGGCTGCCGTGGCATCTGTCTTATGTGCGCTGGCAAGCCGAGGGACGGAAGCTCAATCGGATGCACACAGCTCAGAGTTCGCAAGGTTGGGATTTGTCCAACCTTGAAATTGTCATTCTTTCCTGCCAGGCTTCGTTATAAGCAAATGGAGACGAAGCAGCCAGTGAAGGAGACCCTCGCAATGATATCCCCGTTTCAGCATTGCGCCGCTACTGCTCTGTGCACTTCCCTCCTGCATTTGATCTGACGTATGGCAAGGTCTTAATTTCTTTCACCAACGTTTTTTTTCTGAAGAAGAGGGATGCAAATACTTGGTTTTCGTGTGAATGGTACAAAAATTCCATCCAAATAATCAATATCCATCATCCAGTATTGAGCCACAGATACTTTGGTATAGGTTTTGTTGTTGTACACCTTACTTGTTTTCCAGATCATTACTTCAGTAGCGGGAATAAAGCGTATACCAAAGTATGGAGCATAAAGCAGGAGGTAGTCGTCAGGGGAAAACAGACTCTTCATCGCGTTCCGAGAAAAGCTCGTTCGTCTACCCGTGCTTCTGACATGGACGAGCGGCGTAAAATAGTCGTCTGTGATAACGGCAGCGCGGTAAGGGTGCACCGTATACGTCCGAATGCCGTAGATTAACTCGTAATATTACAATCAATCTAGTGCTCGTTCGCCTTGCTGTTCGGCTACAACTTGACGCTCCGTGCTCTCTCTCTCCCGTGCGACCGTTTTGTCGCAGTCCATCAAGTGCGGGTTCGCAGGCGACAATTTTCCCGTCGCCGTCATTCCCAATGTCGTCGGGCGACGCCTCGTCCGCCTTGACGAAACCTCCCAAGGCGAAGCACCCCCTGTAAGCCCGCTTAACCTCCCAAGGCGAAGCACCCCCTGTGAGCCGTCTTACTCACCTGAAGCACATATCCGTTGCGTCAAAGATCTCACCGTCACGAGGTGACTTTTGAGTCGACTCAAAAGTCAACTCAGCACATATCCGTTGTCTCAAATGTCTCATATTCGTGGGTTATCATTCGTGGTCGATTAAAATCCCTCTCAGACTCGTCTAACCACCTTATCTCTGCTTCCAATTTTTCTTGCTCGTTTCAGACACCGGGTAACTCCTCACCTGGTTACCCTGTCAATCACATCACATACCTGAATACCTGAGCGCGTTGTCGGGGTCGTGAGATGGAGCAGAGCTATTTCATTTCACTCTAGGCTTTTGAGTTTGCAGGGTGTATTTGAGAATTCTCAATTTTGCAGGGTGTATTTGAGAATTCTCAAAAACACCCTGCAAAATCAAGTCGGCTCATGACGTCCTATCCCATCCCGATCAATCCCCAGCCCTACTCCCATGTGCAATGCCTCCTGGTGGGATTGCAGTGCACGGAGCAGGGCCCAGGGGGGCCGCAGGGTGGAGGTGAGCTGGCCCATTCTCAACCTTTTCCCATCCTACCGCATCTTATCCCACTGCACCGTGCAGAGCATTCTGGTGGGATTGCAGTGCATGGAGCAGCAGGGCCAGGGGGGTCGCAGGGTGGAGCTGAGCTACCCCATTCACAACGGCGTGGTGCAGCGGTGGGACGACATGGGGCACGCGTGGTGCGGGACTATGCGTTCAACACCTTCCTACCTACCTCACCTCAACTCCGGGCTTATCCCAATATCATCCCTACTTCCATGTGCAGAGCATCCTGGTGGGATCGCAGTGCATGGAGCAGCAGGGTCAGGGGGGCCGCAGGGTGGAGCTGAGCTACCCCATTCACAACGGCGTGGTGCAGCGGTGGGACGACATGGGACACGTGTGGGACTACACGTTCAACACCGCTCTTGGCATCGACCCCAAGGAGAGCAAGATCCTGCTCACGGACCCGCCACTGAATCCAACCAAGAATCGGCAACGCATGGTATGGCATCAAAGCCTTGGTCTGCAGTGCCTCAAAGGACGACATGGGGCACGTGTGGGACTACACGTTCAACACGGCCCTTAATATTATTGACCCCAAGGTGAGCAAGATTCTGCTCACCGACCCTCCACTGAACCCCACCAAGAACCGGCAGCGCATGGTAAGCCTCTCAGCCAAATGATCAGAACCAGTTGCCTTAGATTGCGGCGTGGTGCAGCGGTGGGACGACATGGGGCACGTGTGGGACTACACGTTCAACATGGCTCTTGGCATCGACCCCAAGGAGAGCAAGATTCTGCTCACGGAACGGACCCGCCACTGAACCCCACCAAGAACCGACAGCGCATGGGATGGCTTCGTGGGAAATACTTGCATTAGCTTTGCATCGCACGAGCCGTCCAAGGACGACATGTGGATGGGGCACGTGTGGGACTACACGTTCAACATGGCTCTTGGCATCGACCCCAAGGAGAGCAAGATCCTCCTCAGGGATCCGCCACTGAACCCCACCAAGAACCGGCAGCGCATGGTATGACTTCGTGGGCTTTACCTGCACTAGCTTTGCATGGCACAAGCCGTCCAAGGCAAGGACGGCATGGAGCACGTCAAGAACCGACAACAGCGCATGGCATGGGATGGCGTCATGGGATTTACTCACTCTGGCAATGCATGGTGGTACTTACCATCAAAGGACGGCATGGGGCACCTGTGGGACAACACATTTCATACGGCCCTTACTCTCGACCCCTTACTCCCACCCCTGCAGCTGCAGATGATGTTTGAGAAGTACAACTTCGACAGCCTCTTCATTCAGCTGCAGGCCGTGCTGCCGCTATACGCGCAAGGTACACGCATTTCAAAGCCCGGGGTCCATTGGAAACCTCGACGAGAAAGATTAAAGGCATGCTGCTGCGTGCATCATGCGGTCCATTCGAAACCTCATGACTCGCCTGGAAGCCATAGTGCTGCGGCTGTATGCTCAAGGTACGTGTGCTTTCGCTTGTTTCCTCTCGCTGGCCTCGTACCACACACACACACACACACACACACACACACACACACACACACACACACACACACACACACACACACACCCCACATTGAATTCACTTCAGCTGTGTTTGTAACACATTGTGATGCTGTATGTTCCCAAACGCCAGTCTAAAGCGTGTTCTTTACATGCAACAATGCAGCCCCCCCTCTCCTCCCTCCCCCTCTCCCTCCCCCCTTCTTCCTCCTCACCTCTCTGTCCCTCCCCCTCTCCCTCCCCCTCTCCCTCCCCCTCTCCCTCCCCCTCTCCCTCTCCCTCCCCCTCTCCCTCCCACTCTCCCTCCCCTCTCCCTCCCCCTCTCCCCCCCCTCTCCCTCCCCCTCTCCCTCCCCCTATCCCCCCTCTCCCCCCCCCTCTCCCTCCCCTCTCCCTTTCCCTCCCCCTCTCCCTCTCCCTCTCCCTCCCCCTCTCCCTCCCCCTCCCCTCTCCCTCCCCCTCTCCCTCCCCCTCTCCCTCCCCCTCTCCCTCCCCTTTCCCTCCACTCTCCCTCCCCCTCCCCCCTTCCCTCCCCCTCTCCTCCCCCTCTCCCTCCCTCTCTCCCTCCCTCTCTTCCTCCCCCTCTCCCACTCCCTCTCCCTCCCCTCTCCTCCCCCTCTCCCTCCCCCTATCCCTCCCCCTTCCCTCCCCTTTTCCCCCCCCTCCCTCCCCTCTCCCTCCCCTCTCCCTCCCCCTCTCCCTCCCCCTCTCCCTCCCCCTCTCCCTCCCCCTCTCTCTCCTCCCCTCTGTCCCGATCGCATGTCAGGCTTCTGACCGGCCTCGAAGTGGACGCAGGAGAAAGCTCCATCTGTGCGAGTTCACGTGCGCTGCGCTCTTGGCATGCAACAATGGAATCCTTTCTCTCTCCCCTCCCATCCCCTCCCCTCTCCCTCTCTTGCGCGCTGTCGCATGTCAGGCATTCTCACGGGACTCGTAGTGGACTCAGGAGAAAGCGCTACTCATGCAGTAAGCGCCGCTCTTCTCGCTCCTGCTGCTCCCCTCTCGCCCTCCTTCCCCTGCTTTCTCCTTTCTGGTTTTGAGTCGACTCAAAAGCAGACTCGTAGTGGACTCGGGAGGAAGCTCCACTCATGCAGTAAGCACCGTTTTATCTGCTCTCCCTCCCTTCCTCCCTTCCTCCCTTCCTCCTACCCCTGCTTTCCCTTTTCCATTTGCCGAGCACACCCCTGTTGCATTGCATATCCGCCCCTGCTTCTCAACCCACACCCCTTACTGTGCCCGTGGTAGAGGGCTTTGCCTATCCCCACCTCACTTATTGCATCAGCATAGCTGCACATTCATTGGCCTCATGCTGAATGCAAACACATTCATTGGCCTCATGCTGAATGCAAACACATTCATTCATCTCCCCTTCTTTGCACCCTGACCACGTGCCTGTGGTGGAAGGCTTTGCCTATCCGCACCTCACCAAGCACATCAGCATAGCTGGCAGGCAGATCACATCCCACCCAGTAGTTTTCTACTCCCCCCCCCCAACCCCCTCCCCCCCACACCCACCCGGTGCTGTTTCTCCAGGTGCCTGTGGTGGAGGGCTTTGCCTATCCGCACCTCACCAAGCGCATCAGCATAGCCGGCAGGCAGGTTTAGACACATGCATCCCGCTTCATGTTTGAGCTCCCCCTGCTGTATAAACCCCACCTCTCCAGGTGCCTGTGGTGGAGGGCTTTGCCTATCCGCACCTCACCAAGCGCATCAGCATAGCCGGCAGGCAGGTTTAGACACATGCATCCCGCTTCATGTTTGAACTCCCCCTGCTGTATAAACCCCACCTCTCCAGGTGCCTGTGGTGGAGGGCTTTGCCTATCCGCACCTCACCAAGCGCATCAGCATAGCTGGCAGGCAGATCACATCTCACCTCATCGACCTCATGCTGCGACGGGGGTAAGTTTAAATATGATTGCTATGTCGAAATCAGATGTAGGTTTACCTTTAGTATTTTCCAGGTTGGTACAGCCTAGACCATGACCAGAAGAATTCAGATCCCCCACCAGCTGAAGCATAGATACATGAGCCCTATATAGAACATGAGCATAGTGTTCTAATGGCGAAATGTAGCCTTTTTTCTCAAAATTGCTCTGTCGTATCTCCCTTCCTTCCTTCCCCACTCAATTCCTCTTTTTCTCTTCAAG